TGTATTTTAGTAATTTGGAGACTGGAAACAATCTCATTTTTATAGAATTGTGTATAAAATAATCGTTTTTTTAATATTGAATATTACACATGTGCCAAACAAATTTTTGTTAAATTATATTAACTTATCAGAAACTGTGTGTCTAAAAGAATATTAACCTTTTTAAAAAATAGTTATAAATGTTTTTTTGTATTATAAATCTGAAATTGAATCATTTTCATTCTGATTTGTATAATTATTTAATATTTTACCTGTGTATATATATATCATTTGATAGACAAGGTAAAAACTGTACTACCTAAAAGAGCTTATACTAAAATTACTGAGAAAGGCAGCAGTTTTCTTGAGAAAAGCATGCACTATATATAATTTGTATGTTACTCTATTTAAAAGTATTGAGAAGCCACTGTGTGTCTTTAAAAATTCTGGGACATGAGAATATTCACTAATTAATGCTGAAATATGGCCAACTTAAACTATTTTCAAGAGGAATGTCTGTTACGTAGGTTAAAAAATATATAGTTGTAAACATAAAAAGGTTAAAATTGTAATATATCATTTTTTAGCCTTAATCTAGAAGTTATAAATTTTGCACTCGGGCTATGACGAAGAGCAAGAATTGTACTTATAGTGAAATTTCAGACTTGTGTACTGTAGGAAACCCATAAAGCTCAGATGATTAGCTACTCTGAGAAGTTTGTTGGATTCATTTTGTTTGAAATCCTTGATCATTTTGTTGATACTTTATTTTATCTTGTTATTTGGTTTTGATGATGCTGATCTAAAAAATGTAGTCAGAATTTGTCCATCATCTCTAGATTTTGAATTATTATAATATCTCAGTATTTTATCAGCACTATGTGAAATACAATACAATCAACTAAGTACCAAAGGTTTATGATGTGAAATAAAGTTTACATGGACAGTTTAATGGGTAAAAGGCATACATTTTTGATAACTTCAAACACTGACTGCAATGTAATGGTGTAAAATTCCAAATATATTGTTCGTATGTGTTATTTGTTCTCGATATAATTGTAGCGAATTGCACCACTTTTCCTTCATTCCCATGCTTACCTACTCTGCCCAGGAATTGAGAAACCCTAACGTGCTCAGTTTGCTAGAATGTTTGAGAAGTTCCTTGACTTAGCATAAAAGGGGGCAGAGTCAGATACTTCTCTCTCAGTTGCCTCTCGGTCACTTCACCTTGCTCCATGCAAAGTCAAAACAAAGTCCGATCTTCTTCCTCGTATCATACCTGTTTTTTAATCTTTTAAACTCTAGTTCTGTAAACATAAATTATTTTGTTTTTTTAGAAAATCATTTGAAATACTGGCTGCCTGCAGTTCAAGTAAAGTCTGAAAGTGCAAAAATCACCCAAAACGTTTCTGCTGTGTTTGTGGAAAATATATTACAGCTTCACAAAGGAGAAATATCACACACAAATTAAAGTTAGCTTACTACCACTATTTTGGGTATAAAATTGGTGAGCAAGAAAAACAATAAGCTGTACATGTGTGTTGTACAGTTTGCACATGTAGCTTGATACAGTGGATGAATAAGAAGAGAGCAAGTCTGCCATTTACAGTTCCCATAATATTATGTGAGCCCAAAGATAATCTAACTGACTATTATTTTTGCATGAATAACATTTCTGGATATTCAGGCAAAACTAAACAATGCACTAAGTATCTAGGTATTGCAGCTGCAATGAAACCAGTACTTCATGTGGATGGTCTTCCAGTGCCACATCAACCAGTGAATCGGGAAACAGAAGAGTTATCCTGTGAAGATGCCAATAAATCCATCATCTTCATTTAGTAATTCTATTACTGTGGCACCTCAACATAACTGCCTCATCTTATCACACAAGAAGTGCTAAATGATCTGAATTGTGATTTATCTCTATCAAAGCAGCATGGGGAGCTTCTTGGCTCTCGTTTATAGCAATTGAATCTATTAGGTCCAGAAACAAGAGTTTCAATTTCCTAAAGTTGCCATCAAAGTTTTGCTTCTCACTACAGCATGCAAGATACTTTGTGTTTCTGTACAAATGTTGATGCACTAACAGAAGAATTAGGTATTTAACATTATCCTCAAGAATGGAGACTCTCTATCGACTCATCTAAAGTTAGTCTGAAAGCTGTACTTTGGCACAATGAGAACACTAAGCCATCAATTCCTGTTGCTCATGCTATGAACATAAAAGAACTTATAAAAGCATGCAGATTATACATTTTTAAATGCAATTTACAGTGACTAAATAAATTTATTAAATAAAAAGTTATTTTCATGATATATAAGATTATTTTGAATAAATTTATCAAAACTCGAAAAGTAGAGGCGATCAGTAATTTCAACATGATTTTTAGAATCAGCATCATCAAATTACTTAAAAACAGTTGCATTTTTTAGAGTAGCAGAGAAAAAATCTTTTTTTTTTTTTCTGTTGCTTAGCGTTATATGAGTCATACAAGATGGTATGCTACATTTAATTTTTCTGCTAGTCTAAAGTGTACATTATAATTCTCATGCTTTCTCTATGTTTGGGAGGAATCACTATAAATAAATTTTTCTATGTGTTTATTAATGACACTTTTTTCGTAATTAAAAATTTTAAGGTGTTGACCTCAAAGCAGTACAGATTGGTAATCTCATTTCATTACCAGCTATGATTGAACAGTTTCAGGGATGCTTCTTCCTAAGCAACGTTGATGTCAAAACTTGGGTCTCTTTCTGCAAATGTTGTAAAGTTCTGTAAGAGGGAAATAAATTTTTCTTTTAGATAAATAATTCTAGTTTTAGATAAATAAGTCCAGAATAGTGACAGTGGTTTGTCAACTAATGGCATTAGTTTTATTTTTTGTTCAGAGTTTTTCAGAAGTCATTCTACTATGTTCATTACTTTAGTCTTACATCAGAGAAACAAAATATTCTATAAAGGAACTTCTTGTAAAGAAATATGCTTAATTTGAGGAGTATGTGCATACAGTATGTAATTACAAAACATTTTTCATGGTACAGTAATTGGTTAAATAATCCTGTACACATTCTTGAATCTCATCTTTGGTCTCAATTTGAAAAAAGGGGAACTTCTGTAGGCAATTTTTATTTATTTATTTGACTTAGATGATAAAAGTCAATTATGTTTGTCCACATAAGATAAAATATAGTAGTATGAGCTTGAAAGGCATTGTTAATGGTCTGCATCTGCCTAAAACGTTTTTTAGATAACATTTCAAGCTGTTAGAGCAGGTCTTTATCAAAATGAAGGAGGAGATCTTTGCCAACAGCTCAAAATATAATTCAAGGAACTTCTTAGACACGTGTAGTCCATTAACAACACCTTTCAAGTATACTTGTCAAAATATTTTCTCAATCCAGTAGTATGAACTTATCTTGTAGCACTGTTTTATTATGAATGGAAATTTCACTTAGAATTTCTGACACAGTACAAATGAATAAGCATGTTATGCATCTGTAAAGCTTTGAAACATTATATGACAGTAAATTGTTTTTTCCAGCATTACAAATGTAATGCATAATATTAAGAGACAAGGATTTTCATCAAGTAGGTTTGTATTACAATTGTAATCACTGATTTTACATATCTTTGTAATTTATTGATATTTTTCAACACTTATAAGATAGCATATGTCTAATGCATTAGTAAATTACATCAAACTAGAACTTAAAAAAACTTTAATACACAGTTGAATACAATATTATAGCTTGCTTTGAGATGAAGGATACACAGTGAAAAGTTAGGGAAATATGTAGAAAAATAAATTGGAACTTCTCTATTTCCTAGACATTAATGTTTGGTTATTCATTAAACATATAACAACAGCATGTGAGCTACAGTTACCCCTAGGTTCTTTAGAGAAGCTTGCTTACAACACTGCTATACATACCTCAGCCAGTAATGTTTAGACAGTGTACTTAGTGCCAATTCATTACTGACTTGTTACATTACAGATATTTAGGTGTATCTGTACTGATTCCATGCAGATGGTATGTTTATATAATAACACTGGACTTTAGTGACATTAATTACTGCCACAAATGAAAGCAAAAAGTATAGAAATGTGGTTTTACCTACGCTACAAGTATAATAAGTAAATCTTGTATATAACTGTTATTGTCATACAGCATATGTCATTATTTTAGGATTTTATTTAGCTCATAATTGTTAAATAGCTAAAATTTATTTATGCACAAAATTTGAACTGAAAGAGAACAAAAATATTTAATATGACAAAACAAACTCAGCTTTGTATTGGATTTCAGGTTTCATAAAAGAACTGAGGAATCATTCACATAGAGTCATAAAGATGAACTTACTTAAGTTATAGTAATAAGAAAAAAACATAGTATTATAAATAATTCACATGATATGAATTAAAAATTAATTATGACCTACTGATGCAGAGAAGATTAAACTTATTTTTATATGAAGCAACATGGGCATGGTCTAGTGTTAGCCTACCAGACTGTGAATTTGACAGTTCAAGGTGCATTATAAAACTAATGGTCAAATCTCACTATTTGAGTAGAGTAGCCCAACAGTTCATGGTGGGTGCTGTTGAGTAGCTGCCTTCTCACAAGTCTATGAGTTCAAAATTAAGGACTGCTAGAGCAGATAATCCTTGTGTAACTTTGTGAAAATTTCTGAAACAAACAGAGAAGTAATTTTCTTAAAATGTTCACAGAAATAGAAAATAAAAATAAAAGCTTTAACATTACATGAAATTAGTTTAAAACATCAGTTATGTGACTAATATGTGTGCTTTATAAATGATCTCTGGTGCCTTGAAAAAGATCTTAATAGAAAATACTATAAATGTTGATCTTATACAAGTGCATGATTCTTGTAATACCTAAGGAAATGTGAAGCTAAGTATTACATAAATTCCATACAAACCTTCATATGCATATACCAGAAACTATTTACCCTTAGGGCATAGTTAAACTTAATCACTAAACTACCTGTT